CCCCCCCTCCCCCCACTTCTCCCCACCCCCCCTCCCTCCCTCCCTCCCCATCTTTTTAGCTAGCTTGGTATTTTTATAGCCTTGTATTCATTTATATTATTAGGTTTTGTGCCATTTGATCTTTTGTACTGCAAACTGCACAGAGTTACCGCGTGGTAAGGTGGGTGGCTAATAAAATGTACCTATAAACAAATAAAATGGGTGTGTGTGTGTGTGTGTGTGGAAGAACCGCTCCCTGGTTCGGTGCCTCTGAGACGGATTCCCTCTTTAGGGTTACCGTTTTCTGTATCCAGCTGCTGCTGTTGCAAAAGGCAGGGACAGCAAACAGAGAAACAGGCCCGGATGGCAGCCTGGATGCTTTTCTGCACCCCCTTTTCTTCTTGCATGGAGTGTTACTCTCGGGCCTGGCAGGCAATTCCCACGCCTAGAGAGAGGGAGAGGAAGCATTTTGTGACCCCCAAAGAGGCAGCTTTATCTGGATGTGGTTCAGGCAGAGGCCTCCCTAATTCACGAGGACAATGAGGGTGGGAGAAGGAGACCAGCCCAACCCACCTGGCACGGCTCCGTCCCTGCAGCCCAGCTCAACAAAAGCGGTTTTAGCCTTGCTGGGGAGTGGACTGCCTGCCTCGTCGGCCTCGTGGAGCAGACCAGAGGGGACTGGAGAGGAAAGGGGCCGTCCCGGCCCAAAGAGCTGGAAGAATCCCCCATCCTTTCCCTTTCGTGGGCTTGGCTGCTGGCAGCTGAAGTTGAGCCACTCGGAGGGTTTGTGTTGGAGGAAGGCAGGAAACACGATTTTCCTACAGGAACGGGGCAACCCACTGTGGGACAATTCAATTTAATTATTTAAAATGGTTAAAATATATTTGTACATTTCTGTCGTTCACATTTCATCCTGCCCCTCCTTTGGCCACCTTTCTTTAATGGTTCCATGCCACCATTTCTCCGCCGTTCGTGTAACTCTTGCCCCGCAGCGAGTTCTCCTTTCCCACCTGAGCAACAGGTGAGCTGGCTTGGGCTTGGCATGGAGGCTGGTCCTTGAAGAGCAGCTGGCAAGGCTGGAGACGCAGGCGCCCTTGAGCTCCTCCACGGGAGCCACGTGCTCACGGACAGCCTCGGCCTTCCCCTTGAGACCCCGATTCTCTCGGGTCATCTGAACCTCCAGGAGGCTCCACTTGGAAAGAGGAGCAAAGCCCAGAGCCACTGGGGGGCGCTGCCACCTCCCCACCCACTTCCTTTCTCTACCGATGGAGTCCAACTCGTAGCATCCCTTGATGAGGTGGTTCTGCCCTTGACTGAGGGCATCATGCCCACAGGTGGTACATTGTGAAGAAGCAACGGATGGAAACTAACCAAGGAGAGAAGCAACCTGGAACTCAGGAGGGATTTCCCGAGGACAGTTAACTAGTGGAACAGCCTGCCACCAGAAGCTGTGAATGCGCCAACATTGGGGTTTTTAAAGAAGGGACCGGACTGCCATTTGTCTGAAATGGTCTGGGGTCTCCTGCCTGAGCAGGGGGTTGGACTAGAGGACCTCCAAGGTCCCTCCCAACTCTGTTGTTCTGTTATTGTCTTGCTTCTCCCTTTAGGATTTCCATCCATGGAACCCTTCCTCAGTCTTCCTGCTTCTCCCTCACGGAAGTGAAGAGGTTTGGGTCGAGGAAGCCTCTGGACGTGGGGTGGAATGAGCCTCCTCCCCAAAGCTCCCCCCTTCCAGAGACCAGCCCACGTCTGGGTTTCTAGAGCCGGGGCACCATCAGGTGGTGGAGCGTCTCCTCTGTGGGGGGGGGGGGGGCATTGTGGAGCCAGGCCATCTCCGAGGAATGTCTGTCCACCAGAGGCCTTGGAGGGTTGGACTAGAAGACCTCCCAGGTCCCCTCTCCAAGGTCTCTGTTATTCTATGTCCTGTGTAAGCTGCCCAGGGTTGGTTTTAGGATGGGCAGCTATACCATTGCCATAAGCCGGAGGTCTCCAAACTTGGCAACGTTTAAGCCTTGTGGACTTCAACTCCCAGAATTCCTCGGCCAATTTGAGTCCACAAGGGTTCAGAGGAAGGCAGAGCCGAGCAGAGGCCAAGACTACAAGGAGCAAGTTTATTCGCAGGTGAACCTAAACCATTTTCACTTTGTTAAGGAGAGCCTCCGTTCTGGAAGGTCCTGCAGCCTTCAAGGAGGAAACGGTCCTGAGAAAAGCGGCAGAGGGTCCCTCTTCCAAGCGGCTCCCGGCCCAACCCCTTTCCTTGGACGGCATATCTCAATCCTTCGTGGTGCATGGACCTCCAGCACGAGGCAGGGCACCTCTCAGCTTTCCTAAGCCTTTCTCCTTCTCCTCCATCCCCGCCATGGCCGTCGCAACAGGAAGGCGGCAGGGACCGGTTGGAGAAGGGAGTTGACTTGGGACCCCGTGGGCCTCAGGTGTGGCCTGCTGTCTCCCGGGTGGGATTCAAAACTCCCAGCAACTGGTTCACGGCCTGGTTGCTGGGTGGGCGTGGCCTATTGGGATTTCGCCTTCCCCAGGGTCCGGAGGCCCTCCAGAAGCCGGAAGCAAGCCCCTTTCCAGACTTCCGGTCATTCCGGAGGGCCCATTTTCCCCCCTCCCAGAGCCTCTGCCAGGCGCTGCACCTACTTGCGTCGAAATCGGGCAGTGTGGAGACTCCTGGGACAGGAGGGGGGGGCGGGGGGGGGCCAGCCGGTAGGTTCGACTCCCAGTTTGGCAAACCACGTGCAAATTTAGCCTCCGGTTCGCCCCAACCGGTCCAAACCGGCTGCATCCCAGCCCTGCCTGTCTCCCTCTGCCTCCTCCTGGGATGAAGAAAGCAACCCTCCGGCTTGGTTTCCTGCCCCCAGCCATCTGGCTTCAGTGAGGCTCCCTGTTCCGGCTGAGCCTCATGAACTTCAAGGCCCGCTTCCGGATGTCTTTCATCCTCGCCCCGTAGACAATGGGGTTGAGGACGGGTGGAACCAGGAGGTAGATGTTGCTCAGGATGGCCTGGAGCAGCGGGGACACGTCTTCTGTGGACCGGTGGATGACGGAGAGGCTAATCAGGGGCAGGTAGAAGGCCAGGACCATGCAGAGGTGGGCCACGCAGGTGCCCGAGGCTCGGAGGCGCTGCTCCCAGGAGCTCAGCCCTAGGACGGCCTTCAGGATCAACAGGTAGGAGGCGAGGATGAGCAGGAAGTCCAGGCCCATCACCAGGCTGATGGCGATCAGGCCGTAGACGACGTTCATGGCCAGCTTGTCTTTGTCACAGGCCAGGTTCATCATGTCCTGGTGGAGGCAGTAAGAATGCCGGAGGACCCGGGACTCGCAGAAGGACAGGCGGTCGAGCAGGAAGGGCAGAGGAAGGAAGAAGGCCAGCCCTCTCACCACAGCCACCAGGCCCACTTTGACCGTCACGGAGTTGGTGAGGATGGTGGCGTACTGGAGCGGGCGGCAGATGGCCACGTAGCGGTCCACGGCCATGGCCAAGAGGATGGTGGACTCCATGCCCGAAAGGGAGTGGATGAAGAACATCTGCAGAAGGCAGGTCTGGTAGGCGATCTCCTTGGCGTCCAGCCAGAAGAGGGAAAGGACCCGGGGCATCGTGCAGGAGGCCAGGGCCAGGTCCACCCCGGCCAGCATGCCCAGGAAGAAGTACATGGGCGTGTGGAGGGCCGGCTCGGCTCTGATGACCAGCACCACGATGGAGTTGCCCACCAGGGCCACCACGTACAGGGCACACAGCGGGAAGGCCAGCCAGAAGTGGGCAGCCTCCAGGCCGGGCAGGCCCTGCAAGGTGAAGGCGGAGAGGCTGCCCAGGCTCTTGTTTGCGGAGGGCACTGCCAGGGTGGCATCCGGAGGCCCCGTGCCCACGTCTGCGGGAGGGAAAGAAGGCAGAGTTGGTGGCGCTTCTCCTCACCGCCTCCCCAGTGAGGCCCCCATGACAAAGTGTCCCTGACTTACAACCACAGATCGGCCCCCAAGGTCTGTCGCCAAGCAAGACAGTTGTTTTGCCCCATTTGACAACCTTCCTTGCCACCGTTGTTAAGTGAATCACGGCAGCTCTTAAATTAGTAACCCCGTTGTTAAGTGACTCTGGTTCCCCTGTTGACTTCGCTGGCTAGGAACTGACAAAAGCCCCGGTGACCCCAGGAGGGGGAGACCGTCATAAATACGAGTCAGTAGCCCAGGGGCTGAATTTGGGTCACGTGACCAAGGGGTCGTAAGTGTGAAAAACAGTCCTCGGCCCCTTTTTTCAGTGCCATTTAAAGCAGTCACTAAATGAACTGCTGTAAGTCGAGGGTCCCTGTATCCCAAGTGTGGTGCTGGAGGGGCTGCATGGAGGATTCAGCCGTGGAAACGCTCTGGGCCAGCCTGCCCCGCAGGGTCGTTGTTGAAGGAGAAAGTCAAGTGGGGCAGGAAGAACTGTGCCCCCTGCCTGGGGCTCTGTGGGGCGCGGAGGGGTTGAGGGATTCACACCCAGGACTCACAAGGGGCCCCTGAGGTGGGCGTGGGAAGAGCCACAACCGGGCCACACCCACCGGCCCTGAGAGTGGGGCACTTCCAGCCTCAGTTCGCCTTCCGTTGTCCCCCGGCAGCCGGGAAGGGCGTGGCACGCAGGCCCCGGTGGACGCAGCCCTGGAGCAGGAGGAGAGGCAGCGGCCGAAGGGGAGCAGTCGGCCCCGTCGTATCTGGGGGCAGCTGAGCCCAAGGAAGGGGTGGGGGGAGGTCAGCCGATTCTTTGAAGCCCCTGAGAGCAACGGAGGGAAACCAACCAGGGAGAGAAGCAACCTGGAACGGAGGAGACCATTCCTGACCAAGCGGTGGAACGACTTGCCACAAGAAAGTGGTGGGCTCTCCATCCCTGGAGGTTTTCCAAAAGAGGTTGGACAGCCGCTCCTGCTTGAACAGGGGGTTGGACTAGAAGACCTCCGAGGTCCCTTCCAACTCTGTTGTTCTGTTATTCAGTAAAATCTCTCTCTCACACATACAGAGCAAACTTGCAGAGCTGAAACTTTTGTGGAAAACTTACCTTGCGAGATCATTTCCCCTCCGTCTCTCCTTGGGCACAGTGGCTAAATTAAGTGCCCCCGGGGGTCCTTCCTTCCTTCTCTGGTGCCTTCAACACGCATCCCCCATGAGCCTCTCAGTCCAGCTTCCCAAGCCCCTTGGCTGCCCCGGGAAGACCCCCGTCCGGGCCCCACCCGGCCCTTCTCCCTGAGGAAGGAAGACCCTCCCCGGCTGCCCCGCAGGAGGAGGAGGCCGGTTGCGTCTCTGGGGAAGGCGAGGGGCCTGAGCGGCCAGCTGGGAAGCAGGCGAGGATGCCTGGAGGGAGCCTTCTCAGGCTCAGCCCCCCCTCCCTCGGGACCGCTAGTCACTGCTGGGAAGGCCCCACCCCAGAAGGGCCGGGCCCAGGGAAGGAGAAGCACGTCCAGGGGATCCGATCCGGGACGCTCAGCCCGCCTCTCAGGGGCAGCAGCAGCTGCCTTTTCCCAAAGCCCAGGAGGGGGAATTTCCCTGGGGTTTTCCTGGGGGGGGGCTGCCACTTGGGGGCTTCAGGCCAGGGACCGTCTGGAGGGAAAAGCTGGCCCTGCGTGGCTCAGCGGGGCCCCCGCCATGAACGTTGGCCTGGTGCAGCTGCACCCTCTGAAGGCCTGGCACCCCCAGCTCCATTTCTCCCAACTGCACCGCTCGTCCTGCAAAAGATTGTATTCTCTCCCTTTCCCTCCCTCCCCCCTCCCTCTTTCTCTCTTTCTCCCCCTCTCCCCTTCCCTAAATTTCACACCCAGCAGCACAGAGATTGGAGAAGGAAGAGCCAAGATGCTGGTGAGCTTCATCGGGGATGCTGAAAACAGACGTTGCAAAGGAAACCCCGGTGGCTGGGCGAGTTACAGCCAGAGAAGCGGCCCAGGTGGCTGCTGTCCCAGCCAAGCAAGAGGGGCCCTGAGCTTGGGCTGTGACGCAAGCAGAGGCCCAGCGGGTATCGGCCACGCTAAGAACACCTGGACTTGCACACCTGCTTTTCCAAGCCCAGCAGCCTCCCTTGGACACGGGCTAAGGAGCTTGAAAGCAACCCTGATATTCCTGTTTAGAACTTCCTGTATCCTGAGGCCCAGGAGCTCCGATGCTGGACAGCCCTTTGCCTGCAGTGGTCTGGGGTCCCTGGCCTTGAGCAGGGGGTTAGGCTAGAGGACCTCCAAGGTCCCTTCCGACTCTGTCGTTCTCTTCTGTTCTCCTCCCCTCTCCCCGAGGTCCAAGTAGTAGGCTCTTCTCTGCTCAGCCTCCCAGTTGGAAGAGGGTCTGGGACCCGCGGGGGGGGGGGGGGGCTGAGCACACATACCCCCCCAGCTGCCATTCCCTTGTGGGGACCCCCAAGACCCCCTCCAGCCCTCAGATCGTCTTTTATGTCCATTGGGTGCAGGCCTTCCTCCCCCCACCCCATAATTGTACTGCCTTCGTGTTTCTGTCCGAGGACGGAGAGGCTCACAGCCCACGTTCCAACTCTCCTGCTGTGGGGACGTTTCCTCACGTCCCCAGAAGGGAAGCTGGGCCAGTGGTTGGGGGGGGGGCGCCCCTCCCTCCCGCAAGGGGCAGAAGTTCCTCCCCAGAGGCCAGAAGGGGCCCCCCGGGTTGCCTCCTCCTGGGGCAGGGAATCTGGGGGTGGGGGGAACAGGGGCTGGGGGACCATCCCAGCGTGGCCCAGGGCCAGGCAGCCCCCAGGGGACCTCAGGGCGAGGCCTTCCCACTCCTGGGAACCTGGGCGCTTCCTGATCCAGCTGATCCCCCCCCCCTGTTTATTTAGCTCGGACCCTTGAGTTAGATTTATTGGATTTCCTTGGAAGAAACGATGGGGAGAAGCGGCCTGGGATCTGGCAGCTCTCCTCCGGCTGCCAACCTCCCCTCCCCAGCCCCAGGGTTGCACAAAGACCGCCTGGGGGGCAGGGGGTCCAGGAAGGACGGCTTGGCCTTTCCCTGCCATTTGGATCAGGCCCACGAGGGAATGGCAGCCGGGGGAGCGTTCGGTGGGTTCAGCCTCTTCCAACTGGGAGATTCATTCGAGAAGAGGCTAGTCGGTGAAAACAGAGTTGGGAGGGACCCTGGAGGTCATCTAGTCCAACCCCCCCCTGCTCGAGCAGGAGACCTGATGTCATTCCAGACAGGCGGCTGCCCAGTCTCTTCTTAAGCACGTCGGGGATGGGGGCCCCACAACTGCTGGAGGGGCGCCTTCCCACCGATGAATTCTTCTACCAGGCAATTCCTCCTGCCTCTGGGGGTCCTCAGGTCTTCCACGCCACGATTGTCCCAACGCTGCTTTTCCAAACGGCAACTGGACTTTTGTCCAGTCAGAACTGAGGAAGCGTCTTGGAGGAGAAGCAAAATGTTTTCAAGGAAAAAAAACCAAGAAAGTCCAGTGTTGCCTATTGGAAAACAGCTTTGGGACACCGAGTGAGGAGGTCGTGGGAAGCCCCTCCCACCAGGCACCCAGAGACGATGGAGAAGAGCCTGGTGCGACCAAAGGGTGTGTGTGTGTGTGTGTGTGTGTGTGTGTGTGTGTGTGTGTGTGTGTG